CTCAGTTAGGACACCACTGGTATCTCTTCCTCGCTCGGCGGCCCTGTCCTTTTTTGCAGTCACCTCTGATGCCACCATATTCACAGCAGTGCCTTCTACTTGCTGTGAAAGGTACCTCGGACCATCAAGGTCCTTCCCCGTCTGTCGTCTCCACTCAAGTACATCCGCCATTACAAGATGGAGGCCTCTGGAGCTCGGGCTGTCTACCCACCACAGACACGCAACATCCGGGACCCACCACACCGGAAGCTGAATAGGGCAAGAGGAGAACTTCCGGCACTTCCAGTACCACTCTTGATATCTCCGCTTTTTATAGTCACCCCGCCTCGCCTAAGTGCGCCTGCGCACGTCAAAGGCGGAAACTCCCAGATAGTCCCAACGAAGCACAGCTCTTTTAGACGCGAGCCCGTGTTGCATCCTGGGAACAATCTGCAGGGCGGGGCTTCCAGAGACTGAGGGGCTTCTCTTCGGAACTCCACCTCCCGCCGGCCAATGAGTGGGCGCTCTGCGCCATGGGGGGGGGGGGGCGCCTGAGAAGGGCGCATGCGCTCTGGTGAGGCGTTGGTAAGGCACGTCCCAGGGTATGGGGAGGAGGCGGGTAATGAGCTTGGGGCGCGATGGGCACTTCCTGGGGCGTCACGACCTGAGTGTGCAGAGAAGGCACGTCAGGTGACTGGGATAGTGAGGAGGAGTGCCTGTTTGCCCGCCTGTAGGTGAAACCCCATCGCCCATCACTGTAGGTGGGTCCCAGCTGGGCATCTTTATGATGTCAGGGGAGATGTTGGCACTGTGAGGTGTGTGATTGTGCCTATGGATTTATGCAGTAGCAGGAGCTGCTGTGGCTGATGGGCATCTCCATGGCACGGGTTCTGCCACTGTCTCTTCTGTCTCACCTCACAAAGCGACTTACGTGTTCCCAACAGCAAGAGGAGTTTGGGGATCCGTAAAGACATTTCGCAGCATGAAGACACAGAACTGAGCTTGAGATGAGAACTTTGGAGCTGGAGGGGGCCTCAAGAAAGGCCCTAGAAGACAAGATGTGGATGCCCCTTGTCTGAAGACAGGATCAGGATGCTCCCAGGCAGGGTATTCCTGGGTAGAAGTGTAGGGTCCCCGTTTTATCTTTCAGAACCACAGCATTCCCAAAGATCCGATGGGAGGAACCTGATGTAAACTCAACGACAGATTCTGGAAGACCTCCCTCTTCTTTCCTGTTATGTGTGTGAGGTGAAGTCAGGTATGGCCGTTGTGGGTGTTCCAAAACTTCAGACTGGGTTTCAAACGGGGTCTGACAAGGCACAAGTCCTTGTCATCTAGCCCTACATTTCCTCCAGAGAATTCCATGATGGTGGGGGAAGTCTTTTTTTTTTTTTTTTTTTTGAGACAGTCTTGCTCTGTCGCTCAAGCTGGAGTGCAGTGGCATGATCATGGCTCCTTCAGGCCTCAAGTGATCCGCTTCAGCCTGCCAAGTAGCTGGGACCAGACATGCACCACCCCCACCTGGGTCACTTTTTAGTTTTTGTAGAGTTGGAAGTCTGGCTATGTTGCCCAGACTGGTCTCTAACTCCTGACCTCAAGTGATCCTCTTGCTTCAGTCTCCCAAAATGTTGAGATTACAGGCATGATTCACCACGCCCAGCTAGGGAAGTCTTATTGCAAACTTATATATCAAGTTTCAGGAAAGTTTTGAATTCCTTTTTTTTTTTTTTTTTGAGACAGGGTCTTGCTCTGTTGCCCAGTGTAGAGTACAGTGCATGATCATAGCTCACTGCAGCCTTAACTTCCTGGCCACAAGCAATTCTCCCGCCTCAGCTTCCCAAAGTGCTGGGATTATAGGTATGAGCCACTGCGCCTGGTCTTGAGTTCTTTAACATACTGAAAGCATTTTTATTGTTTAAAATATACATACAGCAAAATTTGCTATTTTAAGAATAGCCTTATGACTTTTCATAAATGCTTTTCACCACTACAATCATGATAGAACACTCTTATGGCCATTTGTACTCAAATCCCCCACTTCTAACAAACAATTTGTTCATTTCCTTTATCTTTGCCTTTTCCATGTCTTATAAAAAGAATGCCATATAGCCTTAGGAGTCTTTTTGTAAAATGTGATGCCCTATTTGTAAAATTAATTATACTTGCTTTCTAGTGTTCTAAATTTAAGTTTTGACAGTGCCCAATATAGGTTAAGCACAGGTTAAGCCTTCAAACTTGATTCCATCATCATGAGCTACATGAATATACAAGACTCTGTGTTCCCAGCGCTTAACTTTCTTCATCTAAGAGGGAATGATGGGTAAGGGGGTGTTAAGATATACAAGTGATTGCCAAATCACATTAATCGATAGAACGCTATGAAAACTTATGTTAACATGGAAAGTAATGGAGATTATTGGTTATTGCTTGCTCTTTAATGAAACTCTAAGGAGTTACGTGTTTTTCCTCTTCCTTAGTTAATTCTGGAAGTTCAGAGGCTGAAACCATACCTGAGAAAACTTAAAATAAGCTTTTGGGGCTTTCTGGCTCGTTAAAAGTTTCTGCCTCCTTGGCCTATAAAACACATGAAAAATTTTCTCATTTGAGGATGTCAAACATGTCTTCTTTTGTTCTGGAACTCACCTCTAAACCACAAAAATGATCAAACATTCCCCTCTTCTCCCCAAAATGACTGGCTGCTGCTGCTTTACTGATCAGTTTTCAGCTCCAATTAACTTCTGCTTTATAGATGAGAACTTTGGGGGTTCCCAGAGAATTGTATTCATGACCTGAGAACATCCAATCCAGACCAAAGCCTGGCTTCCCTGAACACTCACCAAAATCACAGAACAAAGGCCAAATCTGATAGTAAATCCTTTTAAACACCCTCTGACTGATACAAGCCAGAGACCTTTCTTGATCATGCGTTCAAACTTCAACTCAACGCAGCGAATTTTCCTTGACTACCAGTGTGATCCTGGTGGTTTCTGGGTATAGGGCATTGACAAAATCATTATTTACGCTTTTTAATTGTTATTAACCACAAATAAGAAATCATTGTAGGCCAGGCATGGTGGTTCACACCTGTAATCCCAGCACTTTGGGAGGACGATGTAAGCAGATCACCTGAGGTCAGGAGTTCAAGACCAGCCTGGCCAACATGGTGAAACCCCATCTCTATTAAAAATACAAAAATTAGCTGGGTGTGGTGGTGCAGGCCTGTAATCCCAACTACTCGGGAGGCTGAGGCAGGAGAATCACTTGAATCTGGGATATGAAGGTTGCAGTGAGCCAAGGTCGTGCCACTGCACTCCAGCCTGGGTGACAGAGCAAGACTCTGTCTCAAAAAAAAAAAAAAAAAAAAAAAAAAAAAAAAAAAGGCCTGTAATCCTAACTACTCGGGAGGCTGAGTGCAGGAGAATCACTTGAATCTGGGATATGAAGGTTGCAGTGAGCTGAAGGTCGTGCCACTGCACTCCAGCCTGGGTGACAGAGCAAGACTCTGTCTCAAAAAAAAAAAAAAAAAAAAAAAAAAAAAAACCAAAAATAATTTTAAGGGCAAATGTTCAGTATACAGCAACTAAAAATAACATTGATGACAAAAAAAAAAAAACAAACCTGTATTTGTATATACCCGGTAATACTGATTCAAAATGTAACATGCTTAAATTAACAAAATTATAAAGTTGATTTGAAATCCGTAATTCTCTTGGTAAACAAAAATAACATTTCTAATGTTATGGGTTGAATTAGGCCTCCCAAAATTTTTATGTTGAAATCTTAATTCGCAGTACTTCAGTATGTGGCAAGAGAGTTGTTGCCAACGTAATTAGTTAAGGTAAAATCATACTGAAGTAGAGTGGGGCCTAACCCAATGAGTGGTATGTACAAAAATATTGCCACATGGAGAGACACACACAGAGGGAGAATGCCACGTGAAAATTAGAGTTATGCTGCTACAAGCTAAGGAACTACCAGAAGCTAGGTGAGTTCTGAAACAGATCTTTCCCTAGCATCTTCAGAAAAAGCATGGTCCTGCCAATACCTTGTTTCTGGATTTCTGGCTCCAGAACTGAGAAACAAAAAGTTTGTTTTCCTATGTCACCCAGTTTCTGTACTTTGTTATGGCAGCCCTGGGAAATTGCTATAGTCTCTAAACAACTAATTTGAAAGCACAGTAAATAGGGTATTTTTTCTTTTTTTGCTTGTGAGATGGAGTCTTTCCCTGTCTCCCAGGCTGGAGTGTAGTGGTGCGATCTTGGCTCACTGCAACCTCTGCCTCCTGGGTTCAAGCGATTCTTCTGTCTCAGCCTCCCAAGTAGCTGGGGTTACAGGCACTCACCACCATGCCTGGCTAATTTTTGTATTTTGAGTAGAGATGGGTTTTCACCATGTTAACTCCTGACCTCAAGTGATCTGTCCACCTCAGCCTCCCAAAGTGCAGGGATTACAGGCGTGAGCTGCTGTGCCCAGCTAAATAGGATATTTCTAAGAAATATCTACAGAAGGTTTTCCTTGAAACAAAATCCACATTATTTTTAATGACACATAATCAAACCTAATAATTTAATCTATATCAAGCAACTGCATTTAGCTCCGAGTAACAGAAATCTCCTGAAATCGAATATATGAGGAAGGTATTTGCTCTCACATAGGACTGGGTCAGCACACTTAAAAATGCAATAGGGTACAAAGTCTTGTGTTTGTTTTTTTTCTTTGAGACGGAGTCTTGCTCTGTCGCCCCAGGCTGGAGTGCAGTGGCATGATCTCGGCTCACTGCAAGCTCCGCCTCCCGGGTTCACGCCATTCTCCTGCCTCAGCCTCCCGAGTAGCTGGGATTACAGGCGTCCGCTACCATGCCCGGCTAATTTTTTGTATTTTTAGTAGAGACGAAGTTTCTCCGTGTTAGCCAGAATGGTCTCGATCTCCTGATTTCGTGATCTGTCTATCTTGGCCTCCCAAAGTGCTGGGATTATAGGCATGAGCCACCGTGCCCGGCCGTGTTGTTTTTCTTCTTTGGCTGCAACACTGTGGCTTTCGTGGTGGAACCAGGATCACAGAGCCACTGGAAATATTAAGATAACAAGGTGTTCACGATATAAATTAGACCCCATGCAAATATGTTAAGATCTACAGAACGGGAGAATCAGAAGCTCAGAGATTGCCAAACAAGACAGTCTGACTCAGTGGTCAAGAGGTCATGCAGGGTTTTGAGAAAAATCCAGACTGTAGGTGACTGATCACACAGGCATATCCCTGATATCAAGTTCATGGAGATGTCTGTGGAAGACTACACCTCTGACACAGTGGAAATCAAGCACTTAAGTGTTTCTTTTGATGGTACTCTTAATTGGCAGGAACAAGAATCTGGAAAATAAGCTGAAGTTTGATGTTCACGAAGCCCCTATGCATCTGTCTGTCTTCATTTAATGCGACCTCAAAAGCTCAGCAGTGACTTCTTCACTTCTTCATTCTAAATTTCATTCAAGTTATTGCTATTGGTAAATTTGGACATGGAACCATAAAGGAAATGCATTCCAGCAAATGAAGTTCCTAACAATTCCCACATTGACATAACAATGCGGAAGAACTATCTGCAACTCTGGATTTCTCTGTCATATCACAAGTCAAAGCCTACTGTCCAATTCACAATCACAAGCAGAGACAAACAGCAAAGGGCAAACATTAAAAATTACAATTCATTTGAGACTGTACTCTTTAGACAACTTTGCATAATTACAAAATTCTGCCAACTACTTCTTAGAAAATGGAATAAGGGTCCTCTGGCCAAACAATAAAAATACTCCCAGTAAGAAGGGTGGAAAATATAATAGATAAGTGATATCCAATACCTGCCACACTAGGTCAGTTACAATTTAAGATATTAAATAAAACTTGAACCTACTTGCATATTAAAAATGCACTTCAAATCATCCCTAAGTCCAAAACACTCTAAGATGAAAGTTTTATTTACTGAATTGTAAGAAAAGAAACTACCTGTTAAAATTCATGTAGAAGAGCTAAGAGTATTTGGAGAATTATTTTTCACCTAAATGTTTACTTGCAAATGAACTACAGACACATTCCTTAAGTGTCCACTTTCAGGATAAGGAACTCATAAAGGCAACACCATATTTACAACTTTGATCAGATCTCTCTCCTGGTGTGACTTTTCTGAAGCATTGCACATGAATTCATTTGTAGGAGGATGTCCCATATTACACTTATACTGTTTTTCTGTAGTGTGTATTCTCACATGTCGTCTTAAGGATGAGGAACAATTGAATGCTTTCCCACAATGCTTACATTGATAAGGTTTCTCTCCAGTGTGCAGTCTCATATGTATTGGTAAAGATGACGGCCATTTGAAGACCTTCCCACATTCCTTACATTCATAGGGCTTCTCTACAGTGTGCGTTCTCACATGTTGTTGCAAAAGTTCAGGCCAACTGAAAGCTTTCCCACACTGCTTGCATTCATAGAGTTTCTCTGCGGTATGCCTTCTCATATGTTTTTGTAAGGATATGTGGCAATAGAAAGCTTTCCCACATAGCTTGCATTCATAGGATTTGTCTTCAGGGTGCATTCTCACATGTTCTCGAAAGCAAGCGGATAAGCTGAAGGCTTTCCCACACTGCTTACATTCATAGGGTTTCTCCCTAGTGTGTGTCCTCATATGTTTTCGTAAAGATATGGGCCAATTGAAAGTTTTCCCACACTGCTTGCACTCATAGGGTTTCTCTCCAGTGTGCACTCTCATGTGTCCTCGAAAGGATGAGGGGTGACTGAATGCTTTCCCACACTGGTTGCACTCATAGGGTTTCTCTCCACCATGAGTCCTTTCATGTCTTCGAAAGGACTGGGGATAAATGAAGGTTTTCCCACACTGTTTGCATTCGTAGGGTTTCTCTCCAGTGTGAATTCTCTCATGTCTTCGAAAGGACTGGAGGTAAATGAAGGTTTTCCCACACTGTTTGCATTCATAGGGTTTCTCTCCAGTGTGTGTTATCATGTGTCTTCGAAAAGTCGAAGAATAACTGAAGGCTTCCCCACATTCTTTACATTTATGTGGCTTCTCTCCAGTGTGTGAAATCATATGTCTTCGAAAAGTTGAGGAATAACTAAAGGCTTCCCCACATTCCTGACATTTATATGGCTTCTCGCCAGTGTGTGTTATTGTGTGTCTTCGAAACGTCGAGGAATAACTGAAAGCTTTCCCACATTCCTTACACTTATATGGCTTCTCTCCGGTGTGACTTCTGAGATGACTAGTAAGACTTGAGAAATCAATGAAGGCTTTCCCACATTGTTTACATTCGTAGGTTTTCTCAGCAGTGTGAATCCTTACATGCCGATTAAGGGAGGAAGTACGAGGAAAGGTTTTCCCACATAATTTACACACATAGGGTCTCTCTCCATTGTGGGTTCTCACATGCATTCTTAGGTGTGAACGACAACCGTAGGCCTGCCCACATTCCTGGCACTGATATAGTTTGTGTCCAGTGTGAACTGTGATGGGACTCTTGAGGGATGTGCGGTGATGCATGAAGACTTTTCCGTACGTGTTGTATTCACACTGTTTTACTCCAGGTGGAATTTTCTTGTACAGATTAAGATGTGGAATCTGGCTGAAGGCTTCTCCACATTGATTGTTACTTTCACAGAGTCTCTCCAACACATGATTTCTACTAAAAATGAGAAGCATGTTATTGGTTTAACAATGATTTGTTAGTATTTATTAGGAAGTATTGCATTTTAACCACCTTCACAGAAAGCATAGGTTTTTCACCCTATGTGAATTGTCTGAAAATGAAATAAACTGAATGCCCTGGAAGATGGTCTGACCACTGCCATTATTAAAACGGTGTTTCTTATGTATAGAGTTTCTTTTCTTTTCTTTTCTTTTTTTTCTTGAGACAGAGTCTCACTCTGTTACCCAGGCTGAAGTGCAGTGGCACAGTCTCAGCTCACTGCAACCTCTGCCTCCTGGGTTCATGCAATTCTGCCTCAGCCTCCCAAGCAGCTGGGATTATAGGCCTGCAGCACCATGCCCTGCTAATTTTTGTATTTTTAGTAGAGACAGGGTTTCACCACATTCGCCAGGCTGGTCTCGAACTCCTGGCCTCAAGTGATCTGCCCACCTCAGTCTCCCAAAGTGCTAGGATTGTAGGCGTGAGCCACCATGCCTGGCCCAGGGTTTCTTCATAATGGTTTCCATCTGAATTATGTTTCTAATGTCACTTGCTGTCTATGTCACATTTAAAGAAATATTTTTTGCAAAAATTCTGTGGATTAAACAAATTTGGAGCTAGGCTTGTATGAGTTTTCTGTTGACTTGCTTTTTTAAAGTTTAATGACAGACTAAGATTCTCTCCTGAAATACTGTGTTCCCTTGTGAGTGCAACTCACCTGAGATTTCTCCCCTGCTTTGTGGGCTGATCTTCAATGCTAAGACTGTCCCAAATTTTTCCTAAAACAGAGGCCCAGGAAACATTTCTGGTGAACGCAGCTATTTTAGATTCCTTGGGTATTTTTTTTCCATAAATATCCTGCTGAGAAACTGACCCACTGGCCTTAAATTGAGTTTCATCATCTGAAACCAAAAAGTCAACAAATCATAAGAAGGCACTTGTTAGCTGAAAATGACACTGAGGAGTTTAGCTATCTCAGGACTTCATCAAACACAAAATGGTCAAAATGGTAAGCAACTCAATAAACATAGTATTGGTAAGCATAGAAAAATTATTTAAAAAAAAAATCATAGCCAGATGCAGTGGCTCACACCTGTAATCCCAGCACTTTGGGAGGCCAAGGCAGGTAGATCACGAGGTCAGGAGTTCAAGACCAGCCTGGCTGACATAGCGAAACCCTGTTGCTACTAAAAATACAAAAATTGGCTGGGCATGGTGGCACTCGCCTGTAATCCCAGCTACTTGGGTGGCTGAGGCAGATAACTGCTTGAACCTGGGAGGCAGAGGTTGCAGTGAGTGGAGAGTGCACCACTGCACTCCAGCCTGGGCGATAGAGCGAGACTCCATCTCAAAAACAACAACAAACAAACAAAAAAATCAAATTTTCACTGACTTGCAAAAACAAACTTCACTAGGCCTCTCAAAGCTATATCCATAGTGACAACATGAAGGGAGCTTTTCTTACAAAAAGAAAAAGCTGAAATACAGATTCTCATTCTCATGGAAAAACATTACATTCTAGCTCTATGACAGCTGTGACTATGTCTTATTTACCAATTTATTCCCTTTCCACATTCTAAGCCTTGGAACAGGTCTGATGTGTAAGAAATACTTGTTCTCTAAGTAACTACACGAAGGAAGGAATGATGTCATCCTTACCTACTGAGGCCAGGTTCTGAAAGGTCTCCAGCATCACATCTCTGTACAGGTCCCTCTGAGCAGAATCCAGCAAAACCCACTCCTCCAGGGTGAAGTCCACAGCCACATCCTCAAAGACCACTGAGTCCTAAAACGTTCAACATATTTATGGGAGGATGATTGAGACCGAGAGCCCAGGAGCATTGTACTTATATCGTATGCAGTTCAAAAAAGATTCTGTGGTCCCCGACATCTACCCTGTGACTCAGTTGTCACCCCTCCTCCTTCTGTCTACTCTACACTCACTTCCTCATAGATTTCACAGGACCATTAACACACTGAATTTATCTCTATACTTTTACTGTGACCAACTGAAGACATTACTCTCTACCAAAAGGATTCAGACCACATTGGAGATATCAAACAAATGCTATATAAATGAAATAAATACTTGTATTTTAAGACCATCAGTCCCTGGTCACACAAACCGTTTCAGCTCCTCCCCTGCTGCACACATCATCATTCTGCACCACGCAAAGCACAGGGTCAAAACTGAATGAAGTTTTACGGGATAAAAACACTGACGGACTGGCAACATTCTCTTCTGCTTCCTTCACCAAACATCAGGCCAAGGGGCCTGAGAGGACCCAAGTGGCAACAAAGGCCAGGTAGCCATAGCGTCTTAAAGAATGCCAGGTCCAGCTGGCTGAAGGAAAACATTCTTTTGAGAAGTATTAATTTTAACTTGGAAACTAGAAGTTATTGAGAAATTAGACCTTAGGAAAGACGAAAAAGACATGAGAACGAGGACCTCCACACATTCCCTATACTTGGAGCCTCAGTGATGGAAGCCCAACAATTAATTCTGGGTTCTGTCTCTCTCGCAAGCTCTCTCTCTCTCATACACACAGGCACGCTCACTCAATAAGTATGCACAGAGTGAGGTGTACACAATGTCAAAATAGTTCTTTTCACCGGAGCCAAAAGAAGTATTCTTGGGCTGGGTGTGATGGCTCATGCCTGTAATCCCAGTACTTTGGGAGGCCAAGGCGGGCAGATCATTTGAGGTCAGGAGTTCAAAACCAGCCTGGCCAACACAGTGAAACCCCATCTCTACTAAAAATTAAAAAAAAAAAAAAAATTAGCAGGGCATGGTGGTGCATGCCTGTAGTCCCATCTACTTGGGAGGCTGAGGCACGAGAATTGCTTGAACCTGGGAGGCAGAGGTTGCAGTGCGCTGAGATCATGCCACTGCACTCCAGCCTGGGTGATAGAGCAGGACTCAGTCTCAAAAAAAAAAAAAAAAAAAAAAAGTATTCTTGCTAACCTTAAGGATAAGGTTAAGAGTCCCACTTTGCAAAGGAGTTAACTGAAGTCCAAACCATTTGATTACAAATTTTCCACGGTTATAAAAGACATAAAGGACTCAATAGTGCCTTCCTAGAAAATTCTGTGTCTCAAAAATTCCAGGAGGAAAAAAAAAATAAAAAGAAAAATAAAAAATTCCAGGAGGAAGTGATTCCTCACATATCACTCTGGTGCCTGCACTCTCAATTTCTCATTTCCATATTGCATATTGGGCACAGGTGCATGGAAACCCCAAGATGCCCAGTTCCTTCAAACCTGCTTTCTGAGAAAGATCAACTCGTTACTTACCATCTATGAGCAGGAGACAAAAGACTGTCACGCAGCAATTCTGATGCTAGAACATCCCTATTCACAGAGCAGCAGAGTACCTATAAGACCCTCGTACTGGCACAGGGGACAATATGAGCTCCCTGGGTCAGCCGCAATTGCTCACAGTACAGTGTATTTGCAGTGTATTTTAATAATAAAGTTCCCATCATGCAGAAAGAAGTTAACATTGCAGGCCTTAGACTTTTATCTTTTGGGAGGCTTTCCGGCAATGCTGCCCTTAGCTGGTGTCTGGGAACCTGGGTTTTAGGAAGCTTTGCACCACCCTAATTCAGATTACTCATGGTGCAAACACCACTGTTAATGCTGGACAACTGCTTTCCTTCTGGAAATGGAATCTGTGTACACACCAGGCAGGGGATGCTTATGTGATAAGCTAGCAATAAAAGTCCTGGACACTGGCCAGACACAGTGGCTCCCACCTGTCACCCCAGCACTTTGGGAGGCTGAGGCAGGCAGATCACTTGAGGTCAGGAGTTTGAGACCAGCCTGGCCAACATGGTGAAACCCCGTCTCTACTAAAAATACAAAATTAGCCAGGCGTGGTGGCCTGTGCCTGTAATCCCAGCTATTTGGGAAGTTGAGGCATGAGAATAGCTGGAACTTGGGAGGTGGAGGTTGCAGTGAGCCAAGATTGTGCCACTGCACTCCAGCCTGGGCAACAGAGTAAGACTTCATCTAAAAAAAACTCCTGGGCACCGAGTCTCCAATGAGCTTCCTTGGTGGACATTTCACAGGTGTTGTCACAACTCATTGCTGGGGGAATGAGGTGTGTTCTGCATCCACTGGGAAAGGACTCTGAAAAGCTTCTTTGGGTTTCTTTTGCACGTCTCCCCATGTGCCTTTTCCCCATGCTGATTTTGCTGTGTGTCCTTTTGTTGTATCAAATCATAGTCATCAGTATGACTGTATGTGGAGCCCTGTGAATCCTACTAGCAGGGTGCGGGGTGGTCCTGGGGACGCTGACACCGTTGGCATCGGAGGTGGGATTTGCTAGAATGAGCCTGACTCACTGAAATATGGCAAAAGCACTGTTTGGGAAAAGGATGGATGAAGGGGTAAGGGATGGTAAGCCCCTGGTGCCTGCGCGGCGTATGGAGCCTATTCATGGTGTGAAACAACAGCTGAGCTGTCTGCTATGAGAGTTAACGGTTGATGCAGGGAGAAATGACAGACGCAGCTCCAGTGGGGTGGGCTGGATGTCCCCGCTGCTTTGGGCCATGCAGGCCGTGAGACAAGAAAACAAAGAGCAGCCTTTGGTTTTTGTTGTCTCCTCCGGATAGGAGAAAGGGCTCCCGTGTTCTGAAAGGTAAGCTTTGGGTGAGGAAAACGGTAAAAGTTTGTGCTGCATTGGGAGGGAAAGAAAAGTTAAGTCAATTCCCAAGGCTGGAACGCAATTTTAGGTAAACTCTGGGGAAGCAGGGGACACTCCAGGCTTTTTTTTTTTTTTTTTTTTCCCTGAGAGGGAGTTTTGCTCTGTTGCCCAGGCTGGAGTGCAGTGGTGTGATCTTGGCTCACTGCAAACTCCACTTCCCAGGTTCATGCCATTCTCCTGCCTCAGCCTCCCGAGTGGCTGGGACTACAGGTGCCCGCCACCTCACCCGGCTAATCTTTTATATTTTTAGTAGAGACACGGTTTCATGGTGTTAGCCAGGATGGTCTCGATCTCCTGACCTTGTGATCCGCCCACCTCGGTCTCCCAAAGGGCAGGGACTACAGGCATAAGCCACCGCGCCCGGCCACTCCAGGCTTTTTTTAAAACCTGCTGCTGGTTAAAAAAAGGCTGGAGTGTTCCCTGCTTCCCCCTCGTTTACCTCCTGACCAGCCATGGTCTTCCCTGCTAGCAGAATGCCATCCCTGTAAATGCTGAACTGCCAGCGGTGCGTTGTGAAGTGGTCCCCAGATAGATATGTCCATGTCCTAATTCCTGGTAGCTGTGACTATAACCTTATCTGTAAATAGGGCCCTTGCAGATGTAATCCATTAAAATGACACCATCGGCCGGGCACGGTGGCTCAAGCCTGTAATCCCAGCACTTTGGGAGGCTGAGACGGGCAGATCACGAGGTCAGGAGATCGAGACCATCCTGGCTAATACGGTGAAACCCCGTCACTACTAAAAAAATACAAAAAACTAGCCGGGCGTGGTGGCGGGCACCTGTAGTCCCAGCTACTCGGGAGGCTGAGGCAGGAGAATGGCATAAACCTGGGAGGCGGAGCTTGCAGTGAGCCAAGATCGCGCTACTGCACTCCAGCCTGGGCGACAGAGCGAGACTCCGTCTCAAAAAAAAAAAAAAAAAAAAAATGACACCATCTAATCCAATGGGCCCTGGTGTCTTTCTAAGAGGAAAACACCACATGAAGACAGAAACACACACGGAAGGTGGCCATGTGAAGATGGAGGGAGAGACTGGAATTATGGTGCCACAAGCAAATGAACACCTGGGGCTACCAGAAGCTCCAAGACATGAGGAATACTACTGCGTCGGCATGTGTGATAAAAATGAGAGAAAATGGCAAAAAAAAAAAAGTCTTTGTCATTTTAAAAACACTACAGGGATCATCTCAATCAGTTTTTTTTTGTTGTTTTTTAAGTGACAGACACAACATCCTTGCTTTTTGCCCCTGGTGCATGGACTGGAATTTAAACTCTAAGTATTAGAAATAAGATCAGGTCTCCACAACTGATTTTTTCTTTTTTTTTTGAGATGGAGTCTCGCTCTGTCGCCCAGGCTGGAGTGCAGTGGCGCAATTTTGGCTCACTGCAGGCTCCGCCTCCCAGGTTCACATCATTCTCCTGCCTCAGCCTCCCCAGTAGCTGGGACTACAGGCGCCCACGACCTCGCCCGGCTAGTTTTTTTGTATTTTTTTAGTAGCGATGGGGTTTCACTGTGTTACCCAGGATGGTCTCGATCTCCTGACCTCATGATCTGCCCGTCTCGGCCTCCCAAAGTGCTGGGATTACCGGCTTGAGCCACTTTTCTATGTTTTTTAGTGGAGACGGGGTTTCACCATGTTAGCCAGGATGGTCTTGATCTCCTGACCTTGTGATCCGCCCGCCTCGGCCTCCCAAAGTGCTGGGATTACAGGCTTGAGCCACCGCGCCCGGCCCACAACTGATTTTTACTATCATTTTTCCTATTGGAGGTTCAGGGAACAGGGAAACAAATGAAGAGAGAGGCAATCTCTAAGTGGGGATATACTTTTGGAATCTTAAGTCGTAGTTTTTAGTTTGCTAATGTGCTTTTATGAAAACCTATTTCTGATGACCTTAAGAGTTGATGGTTTTCAAGCCAGATGTGCATATTTTTAGCTGAATCAATGTGGACGTTAAGACTCAGGAGACCAAAAGGGCTTAGGAAACTCTTGCAACTTGTTCTTGGAACACCGCTGTCCAACCCAGCAATACCTAGGCTGTACTGCTGCAGAAGAAAAGCCTCAGTGTTTTACAGAA